TCATTAAATTTTTTAAAATTTTGAAAATCCACGAAATTTTTTGTGAAAATCCGCGAATTATTTTTGTTTTGTTTTACGATGTACACAAAGAGAACATGTTCACAATTAATTTAGAAGATGGGCGCGAAGCACCCTCTAAGGCTAGTACTGTAAATTTGGTTTGTTTAACAATTTTTCCGCTAGCTCTTCTCAAAATATTTGATCACTGAATAAGAGATATTAAGTATGAAGAAGTCATGAAAAGAACGGGCAGCAAAGTGATGGAGGGGGGGAGGGGGTGCAGAAAAATTATAAAAAAATAAGGACCCTTGAAATAAAACTTGAAAGGTGTAAAATTTGAGAATTGTGGTTGTTGGTATTTTTCTCCATTATTCTGTTTAGATTATGAACAACTTTTGTCCGCTGGTGAATACAAGGAAAAATACAGGTAAGAAGCATTTTATTTTTTAATAATATTCTCCACTTTTAATTTTTTTAATTTTTTGTTTTTGTGTGCTATGATGATTGATGACATATGTTTGTATAAACTTATTAATTATAAACCACTTAATCACTTCCTTTCTGTTTTTCCTTATTTTTCCGTTTCCGACGCATTGACTGAAATCCTATTTGAATGTTTTGTGTGAAGTGAAAAATGATTCAAAAGATAAGTTTTATATTGTAGTGAATAATTAAAATCAAACTTAATTTACCGTTTTGTTGTTTAGTTCATTTCTATTTAAATAAGGGTGGCAATGTTAGAATGGTCTGAGGCCATACGACGAGAAGATTATACATACTTCTGTAAAGCAGCGATCAGGTAAACCAAGCCAAGCCAAACCAAACCAAGTCAAATCAAACCATATCAAATCAATCAAATGAAATCAAATCAAATGAAATCAAATCAAATCAAATCAAATCAAATCAAATCAAATTAGATAAAATCAAACCAAATAAAATCAAACCAAACCAAACCAAACCTAGCCAAGCAAAATTCAAACCAAAACTAGGTTCGCAGCTAGGAAAACCATTCTTAATTATTTGCCGCCTTTATCATTTGAACAAGTTTGCTAGCGAAGTTATAAAGAGCTTGTTCCTATCTTCAAACTTTCTATTTTAAAATTAGATGTTTTTCAACAATTTCCATCCTTGCTTCTGCTGCATAAATACGCAGGTTACGTTGTTTAAGAAACCCCAATTGAAAGTTACACATTTTTAGAAAGCTCAGAATTATAGGGAGGTATCGTTGTGAATTGGACATGTATTTCTTTTAATTTATTTGATTTATGTTGACAGCCCCTTTAACTTTCAGTAAGTATTCTGCTGAAAAGTTTCCTGTGTGGATTATCAGTGATGCTAGGAGACTAACAGATCTTCAGTTCTTCAGGTAAACACAGGACAGGACAGGACAGGACAGGCTCGGATTAGATCCAGGACAGGGTATGAAGACCGCAAGGCCCCTGCCAATAGGTTCCGGCCAGACTCTGATCATGTTGAAAAAAACTCTACAATAAACTAATTAGTTGTTTAGTAGTACTAACACGTTGGGAAAATAAAAATTAACTCTTGTCATTGCAAATATGTGATCTTATTTAGCTATAGTTTTCTGTAATGTTTCTTACAAATTAGACTAAAAATGGTTTAAAATCTCTAGCTCTTACAAGTAAATGCAAATTTGAAACTTGCATAATCATTATATACATTTCAAGATACCTGGATACAGTTGAGGAGTGGAACGAGTGGAACTTCAGGTAAATACCAGATTAGGTATCCGGCTTTGCCTGGAAACAGTTGAGGAGAGGAACGAGTGGAACTTCAGGTAAATACCAGATTAGGTATCCGGCTTTGCCTGGATACAGTTGAGGAGTGGAACGAGTGGAACTTCAGGTAAATACCAGATTAGGTATCCGGCTTTGCAAATACCAGATTAGGTATCCGGCTCTACCTGGATACAGTATAAGAATGTGACTTTAGGTGGCTTAGATTAGATTAAATCTCATTTATAAGTTTCGAGTTCAAGATACCAAAACTTTTTTCTGTTTAAGGATTGAAAACTGTGAACCTGACTCCGGAGCAAGCTTAATTCAACCACTAACAGAATTTGTGAACTCGAACTTGTCATAGTAGTAATTAAATCTCGGCCAATCTTCAAGAATTGCTTAAAATGACCGTCGTTGTAGTTTGTAACCATCCATTTAAAAAGGAGCATGCCCGTTTCACAATGTTATCCTTATACCCTTATCTAGCTCGACAATTCAATAATTTTTAACAATTTTCTCAATTTCTTTGTAGCAGAAATCTACAAGTTACAAAATTTGAGAGGAACCACAATTTAAAATAATACATTTTCTAATTTAAAAAACATGAATATCACATTTATTCTTGATCATTACAAGTTAACGTTGTGAATGCCACTTTGTAAATTAAGGGTAATTTGAATTTAAGTCTACAGTTCATTTAACACAGTGTAAAATGTGAAACATTTGCCTCAAAAGACAAAATTTGTATTTATCTCTATTTCGGATTAAATTATGAAGCCTATAAAAAGAACCATTAATCTCGAAATTGATATTCTGTAAAATCTAAGATTTCATATTTTTTTTAAGCGAAATCTCGCCAGTATTAAAGCATAATGAAGTATAATATTGTATCATTAGCCAAACAAAGGCAATATATTTTATGTATTTTTGTTTTTGATATTTTTTTTATCCGCTATATTTTCGTCTGCCGTCAAAACTTCACTTCCGGCAGGGTCAGGGTTTTATCTTCAACCTCCATGGCCGTTTTGGGAGCAACTTCCTCGAGTACAACATTATCCTCCTGATTTTCGGTTTCAGCTTGAGGATTCCTAAAAACTTCCCACATAAAATCTGCCAAACTTGACACACAGCTCAAAGAACATGACAAACTGTAGGGTCACAAAATTATTTTTAGAATCACAAGTTTTATCTGTTTTTTTTGTTAATCTCTTTAAAAGACTATATTTTTTTATAACTCTAAAGTTTAGATTAATTTTTTAATTAATATGTTATATTTTTTTAAGCATATTTTCTACTTATTGTAATATCCTTCGTGGTTTTATCGATTTAAATTGTTTATTGATTCCGTCCAAAATTTCAGAAAAATGGATAACCCTAGTTTGGTTTTTATGTTAAGCGGAAAGCGGAAAAGTGGAAAAGATTTTCTAGCAGACTACCTGAAAGGTGAAAACAAAATGTTTTTCCTAATTATTAGACTTCTTAAAAATTATTTCAAAAGGGAGAAGGATTCGCCAAGCCGAAATTATGCTTTAGTATACGGAACTAGTAAAACATTATGGATGAAAGATTGACGTTGTAGATCAGAATCTGCATCTTGGTTTCAAAATTGATCATAAAATCAGGATTATTGATATATGAATCTCGAGATCAACCTTGGATCTCCACCTTATGCAGACCAATGGATTGATTTAATTCCTCATTTATATTAGTAGTGGCAATATTAACAGAATTGAGCGAGCAAGAGCGAGAGCTTCTGGTGGAGTATTCATAATCTTGAACGATGATCTCGATATCTAATGTGGACATAGTTAAAATTTGTAAATAAATACTTAATCTCTCCATTTACCACCACGAGATATCGATGAGGAATTCAATTGATCTGTAGGTCCGCATGAGATGGAGATCAATTCTTGACCTCGAAATTTATTGAGTTTAAAATTAAACTTGTTCAGACCGTATCGGAGACAGAGCTATTATAATCCGTATTGCTGCTCCCATCAAACTTAGCTATGCAAACCATCTGAAGTTAGGTATTGACTGATTTTTTGATCAATTGATTTGACCGGGAGTGGATAAAAATAATACTTGGTCTATTTGATTTTGATTAATCAACCTGGTTGATTGATTGATTTCTAAATTTGTTACATTAATGATTGATTGATTATAACATTAATAATTTAATTGATAAATAATTCAATCTGATATTTTATTTGATTGTCTTTCAAGTGATTAATTATTTGATTGATTGATAAAGTAATTAATGAATTAATTATTCAATTGGCTGCATTGATCAATATTTAATTTTCAGATTTCAAGCGGTTGCTATCATCAGATTCATACAAGGAAGATATCAGGGTCATACATGTACATTGTAAACTCATTTAAACAGATTTATGAAATTATATTGAGGGGAGGGGGGGAGGTTGTACATTGTAAACTNCACAGTTTTTGAGAGATCCGCATACGTCACAGGGAAAATAAACAAACTTTCGGATAATTTTGAACCCGGGGGAAATCTTGTCGAATATCGGAAATTTTGTGTGGAGTAATGTTAATCTTGAAAGTTTGGGATTATTACTTGATCACTTAATGTAAGTTATCCCCCCAGCAGGGTATTAGAACCACAGGATATCGAAGTGGAATTTAATAAATCCGTTGGTCTGCTCTGGATGGGGATCATTTCTTTATTCCGATATTTACCAAAATTTTGAATGTAAAAATTATACAGTGAATCCCAGATATATGAATACATAGACCGTCATAAATTTTTTGATAATTCTAAAGAATAATAATAATAATAATAATAATAATAACGTTTATTGCTAAATATCTTTTAAATTTACAAAATTGTCAGAAAAAAAACATGTATATGTAAATGTACAATATTGTTACAAATAATATTCTATACTTATAGTAGCAAAAGGATATAGCTAGCATAGCTGTTTGAATGCTATATCCTGAAATAATACACATGACGGTGTGAGACCATACACTAGTAAGAACCTTCTTATTATTTTTAATTCAAGGAAAATTGATAGCCCTGAAATATGAATGCATTTTTCCGCTGCATTTGATCTTAAATATGCAATACGACATTATAAAAAATTCTTGCTTTGTATTCATATATCTTGGATTCACTACACTTCCCCCCCCCCAATATTCTAAAAAATAACCCCCCACCCCCCTGTAAAATTCATGCAAAAGATATACATTGGTAGCTAGAACGCTCTGTAAGAGAAGACGACTTTTGGAATGAAGTTTGTAACTTAAAAGTTCAATGAGCATGAGACATAGTAATTGTGAACGCTCTGTAAAAGGAAGACGACTTTTAGAAGAAAGTCCAATTTGTCATGAGACACAGCAATTTCACCAAATTAGTGATTTAATAAGTAATTATTGATAATTATTTGCTTTGTAACAGCATCAAATACACTTAAATATTGCTATAATTTCAGTTTTCTTTTCCATTTTTTTCTGGTTATCACTATACCCCTGTAGTATGCTAAGGGATTGTACTGAATACTCATGTATATTGCTAGTTATAAACCCATTGAACCCCGTGTTCTCTGAACAGAATAGAAATGCTTGAATATCAGAACAAAATAATGGCTAAGGATGGAGCATTTTTCTGTCGAGAAGCCATCAGGCAATTTCTCATGGATCATTAAAAAAAATAAAATTCTAAAAAAATTATTTATGTTTTTGTTTCTTTTTCTCTTTGTTGCAGTGCTTTGGATCAACAATATAAAAATGTGAAGATTTATGTATTCGGATTCCAGGAGCAAAACCAAACTATCGACCAAAACTTGTTAAAAAAGGTCTATAAACAAAAAACCTCAACTGTCGTTTAAAAAATTTTCTTATCTCTGAATGGTTCATCAAGTTTTAGCATAGAAATACAAAAAAAAAATTGTAAAATTTCAACATTTTTCATTGGTTCAAAAAATCAGTTAGTCTTGAAGAAATAAAATTGTTCAATATTCATGGCCTAGATTTATTTTTTTCTTTGCGGATTAAAAGAAAATTTTGAAAACATGGAATGTTCTTACTTTTTATTAATTTCCAAATTTGATCACATAAATTATCGATAACAATCTATCACATATCATTTTTCCGTCATCATTTGATATGAATTTAATAAAAGAATCCAGGGTTGCTCGGTTGAAGAATGTACTCTGCGTATCAGTTCCCAATATGGATTGTTAGCGATCTTAGGAGACGGCAGGAGCTTAACTTTTTTAGGTACACCCTTTTAAAATTCATTTAGGATTTTTGCTAAACAAATTTTGTTGCATTCCTTTTAAGTGTTTGAACCTTTCATAGGAACACACTTTTAAGATTACACATTTTTCTTCTAATTATATTTTATATATTTAGAAGAAATGGGATTTAAAGAGGCTGTAATTGGATATGTAATTTCAAGCCCCCCCCCCCCCCCCCCCAAGTATGGTTGGGCGTTTCATATTCACAGCTGAAACCTTAAAAGCGTAAACTGATCATAAAAAAAGTTAGCTTATCATGTTTTTCTGTTTGAAAATTGATTACTTTTGATTTTGATTTTTCTATAAAAGTGACTTGGGGGATTTCTGCTGTAAAAAAAATGGAGGCAATAGTTAGAATTTAACACTTTTAATCCAGAAAAACAACGATACTACTATGGATCAGAATAAGTTTTAATCAGTACCGTGGTAAATCGGACTGTCTCATCTTAAGATGAAATGGCAATTGATAATCAATATTTTTTTTTTGTAACAAATTCGATATTTTTTATTTTTATATTTTTCTTTCCACTATGTCCACTTATTCACTTTATTTAACTTATCTGCAACCCCTACCCCCTGAAGACTGACAAGCTAGTATGCTTTCATTTATTTTGTAATAAAGGGAAATGTTTAAAGAGAAAGTAGTCACTATCAGGATCCATGCTTCAGATATTACAAGGTAAGTTTATTCCTTCTTTGTATGCATGCATGTTCAAAGTTAAAACAAAAAGAAAAAAGAAACATAAAACGCTTGTTCAAACCCAGCGGAGGTGTGTACCGCATTCTGTCAGTGCTTTAAGCATCCCTTTTATTCATCCCCTAGTATCAATGTTTATCCTTAAAATTCAGGCCGGACTGAACTACTAGATCCCATATAGACCAGGGCAAGTGGAGGAGCTGAACCCTATCTTCATTGTATTTCAACCTACAGGTCGTTGTACTTTGTCTGTAGGTTGATTGTTAATAATAATAATAATAATAATAATAATAATGCAAAAACTTCTGATCAAAATAATGCAAAAACTTCTGATCAATAATGTGGAAGATATTGTCGTTTTTAGGTTTAAAAGTGTTTAAAAAGTTGTTTTTAAAATTATTTCTGAGTGTGATCTAAATTACGGAGATATTTTGACGATTATACAACTTTTTGAAAAAAAGGTTGGTTTTGAATAACTATATTATTCATTCAGGGGTGTGTATACATGACACGGCATGTGGAATTTTATAAAAGTTTGTTTGACTTAAACTAAAGATCACACTGTTCCTTGGAAACCCAAAACCCAGGTTCAAAGAAGGGGGGGGGCATGTGGATTGAGAATGTCAACCTGGGGGACTCAGGTTCCCGGAAACCCTTCACTCTGATTCTTCTGTATCCTGGAATATTGTATAGAACAAAACCTGGATGAATTTAACAGACAATCCCAGACGTGTATTAGTGTGCTGTTGTTAACGGTGATGAGAAGTGGGGACAGATTCAATACCTATTTTGTGGCCAATTTCGAACAGCCAGCCTAAATTTGTCTTACGTCTTATAAATGTGTATCGTGAGGGGATGTACTGATGGCTGATGGGTGAAGTCGACTGGGGGCCAGAACACCCCCAGCAATTTACTTATTAATTAATACTTCATATTTTCCTGAAAATCACCCCCCCCCCCTCTTTTGGGAATTTTTTCTCTCCAAGAAGTTAAGTACTAATCAAGCACTTATGAATTTTGAAAATTTAATTTATATTTGTTTAGGATTAATAGAGGTTGGATAAGAACGCACGGAGTGAATGATTCTCCCTCAGAGTGCGCGCTAGACTCAGAGACAACTTGGAACTATAGGTACAAGGCTCGCACACAATTTTAAAGTTACAATTTTAGCTGTTAACCGTTGTTTTCAAGCTGCCATTTTTCTCTGTTAAATTGTAAATATTATTTTTAAGGATTTTTCTGTTAAAATCGGTTTAGCCGTGTTGACGTTTATTAGATACAGGGCTACCCACGAATGATGAGACTGTGAAGACGACTGGAAACTCTTAAGAATCCTAGGTTAAATTAAGCCTTCAGTCTTGAATTTAGCCTCACAATGGCTTATTAAATTATTTGAAAAAGAAAGAAACAAGTTTAGAATTTCAGTGAATCATGAATATGATAAACAGACAGTTTAAATTCCGTTAAGTCGTCTCTGAAGTCTCATCCTTTGTGGGTAACCCTGCACAAACAGCCAGACCACCAAGGCAAGTTTATGTGTTTAATTTAATTAAGATTTAATTTGAAAATAACATAACTGTATGGACCCCAAGGTGAATTGCAGAAATTCCTGAAATTTAAATTTTATGTAAAATTCTCATAAATGTTTTTTGTGTTTGAGTTGTCATAGCATAGATTGCTAGAAGATAAAAATTTCAAAAATTGTTAAAATTAAAATAACATTTTTTTGTTGAAAATATAAACTTTTATAAAAAATTTCAAAAATAATTTCAAACTAAATGTTTTACTAGAAGATTAGCATAAGGCACTCTGGAGTCTGTAAAGATAACTATTTCTTTACTCTGTTAAGGATAACAAATAACGGAGCTGAAGAAGATGGTAGAGATCAATTGGAACCTCTTTTAAACCTGGCGAAAGAAAACGCGTGTGATTGATTGATTTATTTTGAAATTATGTTCCGCAATTTTGTAAATTGAATAACTTACTTTTATTTTCAGATAAAATGTTTACTCCTCCACCTTTGGAGAAAGATTCGAGTTCAGACAAATTTAAACCTTTCAATGATTTCCCGCCATCAATGGAGGACTTCTCCCCTCCCCCCATGGGGAACTTTTCCCCACCCCCTATGGGAGAATTCTCTCCTCCCCCTATGGAAGATTTTTCACCCAGTACTGATTTTTCGCCTCCACCTTTTGAAGATTTTGCGATGCCAGTATTGGGTAAGAAGATTTAATTTTTTTCTTTATAAATGAACATACACATTTTATTGATTTTGAACCACTCAGAAATAATTCTAATCTCAGTGGTTACCATAGCTGTTCCTAAATGGAAATTATATATATTATACAGTAGGTATCTTTTTTTGTCTGTTTGTTGGTTTTATGTTCTATCATAACTCAAAACTTTTGCCCAATTTGCCTTAAACTTTGATTGTGGAACTCAGTAGAACCACGGAAATGTTCTTAGCTAGATTTTAACAATTAGACGTTGACTTGGTTGAATTTAATGGCGAAAGGGCAATTTATAGACGCTGCTGGGTTCCTATACTAACTGCAAAACTTGTTTCCTCAGCTAGTGCATAACAAAATTCAAACGTCCACTTCAAATTGGCGAGGCTATATAAATTAAACCAAGAAGAAAACACTGTTCTTGGAAGGCTTTTCGACTGTCAAAATATTTTATAGGATTAAAGTTTATTTCTGCAATACGTCCGTAAGAGGCGCCATGACAAACTCCTGAAAGACAAACTCCTGAAAGACAAACTCCTGAAAAGACAAACTCCTGAAAGACAAACTCGTGACGAGACAAACTCCTGACGAGACAAACTCCTGAAAATAAAAACTTCTGAAATACAAACTCCATAATATCAAATTAAAAAAAATGTTTCACAATTTATATTTAATCTAGCCGCAGCGCTCGGCCCAGAAAGTGTCATAACTTAACCTAACCCATGGCCGCAGCGCTCGGCCCCCTAGCCTGTCCTAGCCGCAGCGCTCGGCCCAGAAAGTGTCTTAACTAACCTAACCCATGGCCGCAGCGCTCGGCCCCCTAGCATGTCCTAGCCGCAGCGCTCGGCCCCCTAGCCTGTCCTAGCCGCAGCGCTCGGCCCAGAAAGTGCCTTAACCTAACCTAACCCTAAATAATAAAACATAAATAATAATAAAGCTGGTTATTCTGATCATTGAAATACTTTGCTGCTTGAAGCATATTCAAATTACTAAAGATTGCGAATTTTTTCTAGGATATTTGCGGATTTTTTCTCCTAAAGTTTATGAATTTTATCGTATTTCATTCAGAGAAAAATTTCTTTATTTCATGAGTTTGTCTTTCAGGAGTTTGTCTTTCAGGAGTTTGTCTTTTCAGGAGTTTGTCTTTCAGGAGTTTGTCTTTCAGGAGTTTGTCTTTCAAGAGTTTGTCATGGCACCCCGTAAGATGTCAAGTTGAAATATTAATACTGTTGCTTAGTGAGTGTTTTTACCATTATTGTGAAATGTGGACACATGATTTGAAGCATACTTCATACGATATTCAGTGATCAAGATATGAAATTGATTAAACAAGTAAAACACCCCTTGTTGAAGATTAAATGATTGTAAAATTGATTGCTTGATTAATTGATTCATTGGTCGATTAATTGAATGATTGAATGATAGATTTATTTGATTTATTTACTCATTGATTGATATTTTGATTGATTGATTGATTTAATTAATCATTGATTCATTGATTTATTTACTCATTGATTAATATATTAATTGATTTATAAAGTAATTGATTTATTGATTGCTTGAGTAGTTATTTTACTCATTAATAAATTTACTGATTGATTGATTGATTGATTGATTGATTGATTTATTGATTGATTGATTGATCAAGAATTTTTCTAGAAGATGATGTTGAAGATGAGATATATGGTTCAAATGATTTCATGACTGGTGTAGATATGGAAGGTAGGAAAGATTCAATCTTAAGAGATTATTAACTTTTTAGCCATTTCTTTTTATAAACGCCCAAATCCACCTTGCACCAGTTTAAAGTCTTTTTTGTCATACTTGACTATTTTTTTTTCATAATTTTCAAACTCATTAAAAAAAATTTTTTAAGTCAAATCACTAATGTAAGCCAGAAAAATATGTCGTCAAAATAAATCAATATTGGTATCTAAATATCCGTCTTGAAACACTGAGTACAGAAACAATAAATTCGTAAAAATCACTTAAAATTAAGCAAATTATTAGCAAAACATTCAAGTTTTTTGGAAAAATGTTTGGCAGAGAATCAAAAAACTAGTTGTTTTGGGTTTACATATAACAGTTTTTGAAATATTAAAAAACTGAAAAATAGACGGTATTCATCGGTTCATAACCCACCTTTTAATACCCCCAATATCAACATGTTTGGGAAAAAAATTAAGTATCAACCTTTCCTTATAATTTTTTTCTTTAAATCTTTTTGATGGTGGAAAAGAATTTAACTTTTTCGATGAAATAGTTTCACCCTTACAAGATAAAATGAGATTTATGCAAAAATAATCAAATTCTTTATTTGTTAGAAAAAGTTTTAAAAATGCACTATTTTGGACAAAATCTAACAGCTTGTGTCTGTTTGTTTTTATGTCCGATCATAACTCAGAAAGCCCGTGACCGATTTGCCTCAAATTTGTATTGGGGAACTCGAGAGAACTACGGAAATGTGGTAAACTTGGTTGAGTGGGTCCACTTTTATAGGGATGAATAGGTAAAATCGTAATGTCTGCAGTAAGTTTGAGTGCCGTATGCAACTCTAGTTTAATATAAACCTTTATGCTGTATTTTACAGATGATACTGGAAAGTTAGAAAATATTCTCCAACTTGCTCCTAGGAATGTGTGATTGATCGATTGATAACTAAATTGATAAATTTAAAGATAAAATAATTTCAGGAATTTTTCCAGTGGGGGGGGGGGATAACATTTTTCTTTCTAGGGGGGTTATTGATTACTGATTCAGAGGGGGGGGCTGAGCACCCATAGCCCCCTCTATACGCCTCTGAATAATTTCTTTATTCCAGATAATTTCTTCTTATTTTTGTGTTACAATAACCGTCTAAACGATTGAACTCATCAGGCCCAATTTCTTGTTCTGGCACCTTATACATGACCACTGTCCACTGGAAAGGTTTTATAGACAGTTATTCAGAATTAATAAATGTTATCTAAAAATTTAATTATTTTTTTTTAATTTAGCCATTGCAGGAGACATTAGTTCCAAAACTGACACTTGGCCCATTTCTAATACTGAGTAATGGGGGCACAATTTGAAAAACCGGGTTATTAGGATCCCGGCCCAAATCGAGAGAAAAAGTCAATAGTAAAAACTAGAAGCAACATTTTACTAAGCATTACGAGGACATAAATTCACAATTTAAAACTTTTTTCTGAAATCAAAATTATCAAAGGATTTGTTTTTATGTTAAAACTCTTGAACGTTTTCAAGACAATGTCAGGTTTTCCATTTTCGAACATCTCCGGAATTTGAATCATTGTCGCGTTTTCGAGAAAACCCCCACTTTCCCGGTTAGAGTATAACCCGTCATTCAGAACAAAACTCACTTTCATAACTTTCATCACTGAAAGTAAATTTAACAACCTACTCTGGTTAGGCGGGTCCAAACTGCATAGTAAATTGTGATTGCTTATATGTAATATCTCATGCTTTGTAGTTGAATAAAAATATGAAATGAATGAAATGATCTTATGAAGACTAAATTAACTGCTAAATTATTTCTAAACTCTTAGTTTCCCCATTTTATTTGATAAATAATACAATAAGGTTGATCCGTATTCTAAATAAACAATAAATAAATAAATAAAAAATATCAATATTTTGGTTTCTCAATGCCGTAATGATTTTTGAATTGTATAAGAACAGTGTGTTTTTATTCTCTATTTTGTTTTTACTATACCTTATCAAAAAAATCTAGTTTCGTTACGTAAGTGCGTAAATGCTTTAAAATTTGCATTGATTTAAATTCGAGTAATTGCCTCTAAACCAGGATATGTTCAAAAAACGTGACATGAGCTGAAAATGCTGAATTGTTTCAAAATAGGGATATGTTCGAAAATGAAATCAAGTATCATCAAAAGTAATTCTCACACCTTATTATTAGTTTATAGTTGACATTTTTTATAAATGTTTGGTGTAGTTTTGTTCAACTTGGTTTGGATTTAAAGATATATAATATATATATACTTGGAAAAGATAACTTTGCAGTTTTGGAACTAATATCCCCCGCAATGAAAGTAGGAAAATCTGCGAACGTGGTTCATATTTTGTCAAAATGTTCTCCGGTCCTTCAGAAAGATTGATAACGAAAAGCTAAAATGGGTACCTGAATGATGTCATCATAAAACTAGGTTTTTAAATTAAATATTTTGTCTCATTTTTTTACGAAAATCAAACTGTTCAGAGAGATTTTGGAGTTAAAGAAAGCAAGTGAGAAAAGTACAAACTTTTTAGTGAATCAGCTGAAGGGGGAAAACATCACCAGAGAGAAAGACCAAAATCAAGAAAAGATTGAACATCAAGAATCTTCAAAACTTAGCAATGATAATATAACATCAGGATTGAAACCAAGTACAGAGAATGGAATAATAGAAAACATATCAGAACCGTTAACAGATTTAAGGGAGAATAACGATATTTATCAGAAAATTGGAAACATGAAAGAAGAGAGGGAGATTGAAAAAGTAGCACCTAAAGGTGAGAATAATAGTTCTGAATCAATAGCAGAAGAAAAGATAATTTCAAGATCAATAGGAGAGGAAAAGATGGGTTTTGAACCAACAACAGAAGATCAGAAGGTTTCTAGACCAATAGGAGAAGATGAGAAGGTTTCTGAACTAATACGAGAAGAGGAGATGGTTTCTGAGCCAATAGCAGAAAAGGAGAATGTCTTTGAATCAAGAGGAGAAGATGAAATGATTTCTAGACAAATAGGAGAAAAGGAGATGGTTTATGAACCAATAGGAGAAGATGAGGTTGTTTCTGAACCAATGAGAGAAGATGTGATTGTTTCTGAACCAATAGAGGGAGAGGATATGGTTTCTGAACCAAAAAGAGAAGAGGAGAGGGTTCCTAGACCAGTAGGAGAAGAGCTGATGGATTCTAAACCAATAGAAACAGAGGAGAAGGTTTCTCCACTAGTTGAAAAAAATGAAATTTCTTTATCATTATCAGACAAAACCATATCTCAAACCAATTGTGAAATTAACGAATCGAATGAAATTCAAAGTTTAAATATTTCCTCGCAAATGAACAGCCTCAAAACTTCAGTCAGTGATTTACATTTAAGTGCAGAAGTTGATTCTTTGAACGATAAAAACTTTGATGAATGTTCTAGAATTACTATTGACGATGAAAATTCCTCCTTTGAAGAAAATTTAGGGAATAATAATCAAGTTTTGTCAGATAACGAAAGTAACCGGAGCAAGACCGAACTTACTTCCGTAATTAATCCGCCAAATAGTGATGTGGAGCAACCAGATTTCTTCGCAGATTTCGATGGAGGAGACCCAATTTCCGAGGATTCCGAGGGTTGGGGTAACTTTGAGGAAACAGTTGCTGCCCCTTGGGGTGGGGTTGGACTAGATGAAGATGCTGATTTCGGAGATTTTAATGATATTGTGGATGATTCCAACGCCTTAAGGGGGAGAACTGAAAACGAAATAGATAAATTAGTTTCAAAGGTAGGTGAACATTTATCCAAAATATTATTTTTGAAGATTAAAATTTTATATTTTAGTTGAATGATGAGGTCGATGTGCGACTGAATAGAATATTCTGTAATAGCGAAGACACCGACGAAAAGAATGAAAAAATTCAAGAAGATGAAAAGGATGAGGAGCAAGTGGCGGAAAAAGAAAGCTGTCATGAAACAGAAAATACATTCTTGAATTCAAATATATTGTTGGAGACGGTAAATAAGGTGCTTCTTTGTTCCCTTCATGCTAATCTTAATTTCATTAGAAATTAAATACTTGTTTAGTGACCCCTCTATTTGTAATATTTGCATGTCTGATTCACATTGTTACCCTAAAATCTATCTGATTATCTACATTTGTAAAATGTAAATGGTGTCGGCGCCTTTTTTCTAAAAAGTGTTGAATTCCGTTCAGTTCCTTTATTGTCCCTAAATCATGAATGTACAAGTAACTTCTATAGAGAAACCACGATTTAAAACAAACAAATTTATAGAATATCGCAATGCTCATGCATCCTTGAACAGGCACATATTTAAAGGATATCGCTGTGAATCGGACACGTCTCACTACAAATTGAGCGTTACTTCAAATTGCGTCCCCGGTCTTTTAATGAAAGTTAAAAAACAATTTTTATTATAGATTTTTGTTTGGTCTACTAATAATGTCTTATGGGAAAATATTTAGTGTGTTTTGGACGTAAAAAAAAGAATAAAATGATTTTTTAATTTATTCTTGACTTTTAAATAGTGATAAATTAATGAAATCAAAAGCCGATAAAAAGTAAAAAAAAGTTTTAACATAAATGCCACTGTAAACTGATAGTTAACTGTTCTTTCAAATCAATTTTCGGTTTTAAAAGTAACTATTTATGTTCCCATTACAAATTATAAAACCTCACCGCAATCCCAAGTCACTTGGAGTCTGGCTAGGGAGGGGGTGCAGGGACGCCATGAGCCCCGCAAAATAGTCTCCAAGCCTCTGGATTCGCAGATGAGTATTTAAAATGACCCAGCGCTACCCCTTCCCTTTGAAATAGATGTTTAATTTGTAGAAAAAAAAAACATTTTTAAAGGGGGGGGGGGGGCACAAAACGTATTACTCTCCAAAAATTTTAAATAACTTAGAATAGTAGTAGAACGCTGTTTTTTTTGCATTTGAACTATAAATTATGTATTGAAACTGCAAAATTAAGGTTTATAAAAAATCCGAGCAAAAGTGGCGCGCGCGCTTTTGGTGGAAAATGTTACTGTTTTGCATATTGCAATCTTGACACTTTGAAATGAACTTCAATTTGCATTAAGATGCTTTCAAACATGTAATCCCTTAATAGTTTCGCACAAAAAAGTCTAAAATCCCCGCGCGCGCGCATTTCAGAAAAAAAATTTGAGATTCTTTACTTTTTCAATTTTGGCATTATTGATTATATATTTTATTTTAAAAATATTATTTATTACTTCTACAATATCTGTTCTAACGTTTAGGGGTAGCGTCAGGTCATCTTGAATACTCATCTCCGAAACCGGAGGTTTGGAGACCATTTTGCGGGGCTCATGGCCCCTGCACCCCCTCTCTCGTCTGGCCTGTGGGTGTAGGACGATACTTAAAATCTGGATTTGATTTCATTTTATATTTAGGATAGAAAAGTGTGGTTGAAAATGGAGGACCCGTCCCAGACTCCTGCCCTGGAGTTCACATGGTCAGAGTCTAGCTTATACTCCATCCTACTCTCTACACTCAACATAGATACTAGAGTCATGGTAAATATATTTTTATTGGTTATAAAAACATGAAATGTTCTTACTCCTCGGGTATCCATGGGTTTCTTTAAAAAAATTAGCTAATTCGGTTCAGCCGTTTTACCACCTTTAGCTGATATATATATATATACGTAATATATATTTGAGCGAAGAGCTTTATTAAATAGATAGATTTTGATGTATGGATGGATACTTATATACAAAAGAGATGAAGAGTCCTTGTGATTTCAAGTCACCTGCAAATTAAAGCATGTCCGAGTCATTTAATTTTTTTTTCGAGTAAACATTTTTCCAGTTATTCTTGTTTTCTTTCTGAAAATTGATAATTTTCAATATACGGATTAATGCTGAAGAGACAATGAAAGAAATATGCAGAATTTTCAAAACAGAAATATAACCTTAATCTTCCTTCTTTTAGTTAAATGGAGAAAGTTGGAAGAACAGTATTCCAAGGAATCAGAAATCTGGTATTCTACAACCAACCATCCTGCAACCATCAACTGTACAGCCAGTTGTACTGCTACCAACAACCAGTTCACAGCCCTCAACAGAGCTTCAACCCTCCCCTGGTTTATCTGATACAACCCAGTCCGACAATGTGAAGCTTGAGATACTGCTAGATCAAGTGGTAGAGAAGAAATCAAATCCGGAGGAGAATATATGCCTTGAAACTAAACAGGTTCAGTTTAACCCAGAACTCCGGAGTCATCAAAAGAAAATGTCGTCTTGAAAATTTGTCATGGGTTTTACACTAACATACCTAAATCTCAGTAATTGTAAGAATAAATAAACAGACATTAAATATGCGAGAACAGTTTCTAAGAGCTCCATATAATTATTCAATATAAAACTATATATCTGCAGCATTCCTTAATAGTAAGTTAAAAATACCACTTTTTACAAATTCTTTCGATGTTTCTTAAGTTCTGGGTTTGACTTTACGAATGAAGCATATTAATCTTCTATTGGTATTTTCTCTTTCCAAAATTGAAATTCTCTAAATGGCAACTTTATTTGTCCAAGTTTACGGTTTGATTTCAGAACAATTACAAATAGAAAGTTTTAAAAAATTTCCAAGTGGCATTTTATTAAATGTCTTTTTTTTCCTTCAAGAAATAGGATAGCATTTACGTATAATATAAATAATGTTTGATATTTGGCAAAAAATTTGAAAACTTTTCTTTATTTGTTTTAAATAAATTGAGAATTGTTTGGATCTTTAATTTTCTAGAATAATCTGCACTCGCCGGACTTTGACTGGAGTTTACCTGACGGAATATCAAACGGTAGATCATTAAAAATATTATAAATTTGGATATTTTTATCATATATACATTATTCATAGATGAATGGTTGATAGGCTGATTTGTTGGAAGGATGAATTGTTGAATGGCTGGATAGATAGTTCTTGGATAGATAAGTTGTTGGATGAATGAGTTGTTGGATGAATGAGTTGTTGGCTGAATGAGTTGTAGGATGAATGAGTTGTTAGATGAATGAATGAGTTGTTGGATGAATGAATGAGTTGTTGAATGGATGAGTTGTTGGATGAATGAGTTGTTGGATGAATGAGTTGTTGGATGAATGAGTTGTTGGATGGATGAGTTTTTGGATGAATGAGTTGGATGAATGAGTTGTTGGATGAATGAGTTTTTAGATGAATGAGTTGTTAGATGAATGAGTTGTTAGATGAATGAGTTGTTGGATTGATGATTTTTTGGATGGATGCCTTGTTGGCTAGATCAGTTGTTGGATAGATGGATGAGTTGTTGGATGAATGAGCTGTTGAATGGATGAGTTGTAGGATAGATGAGTTGTTGGAATATTAATGAGTTGTTGGAAGAATGAGTTGTTGGAATAATGGGTTTTTGGATGGATGAGTTGTTGGATAGATGAATTGTTGGATGGATGAGTTGTTGGATAAGCGAGTTGTTGGATGGATGAGTTGTTGGATGAATGAATTGTTGGTTAAATGAGTTGTTGGATAGATGAGTTGTTGGATGGATGAGTTGTTGGATGAATGAGTTGTTGTAAGAGTGAGTTGTTGGATGGATGACTTGTTAGATAGATAAGTTGTTGGATAAATGAGTTGTTGGATGAATGAGTTGTTGGATAGATGAGTTGTTGGATAAATGAGTTGTTGGATGGATGAGTTTTTGGATGAATGAGTTGTTGGATAGATGAGTTGTTGGATAGATGAGTTGTTGGATGAATGAGTTGTTGGATAGATGAGTTGTTGGATGAATGAGTTGTTGGATAGATGAGTTGTTGGATGGATGAGTTGTTGGATGAATGAATTGTTGGATAGATGAGTTGTTGAATAGATGAGTTGTTGGATGAATGAATTGTTGGATAAATGAGTTGTTGGATGAATGAGTGGTTGAATGAATGAATTGTTAGATGAATGAGTTGTTGTAAGAGTGAGTTGTTGGATGGATGACTTGTTGGATAGATGAATTGTTTGAAAGATGAATTGTTGGATGAAATAGTGTTGAAATAATGACTTGTTGAATGAATGACTTGTTGGATGATGGAAAATGATGTTTTCCTTGAATGTTTGATGAATTTATGTATGGAATTTATTAAAATGAATTGTCTTAAATCTTAATCAAATTTGTTTGATAGGAGTTGAACACGGTATTGATGATATCTCGGCTCAGTCCCAAATATGGTAAGATTTAAACCAACTCGTTGATAACTATCCTTGATAATTTCTAATTGCAGTCTCGAAATGCCTGATAACTGAAATATCTATTCAGATTAATTTGTATTTTAGGGAAATAAACTCTGCTGGTTTGGGTTCTGTCTCTGGCTTAACTAGGGGCCCCGAGAACATATCCTTGGACCCGGTGAGGGCCCCCGGGAGCATATCTGTTGAGGCTAAAAAAGTTCTTGATTCATTCCCTCTTTTGAACTTTATGAGCAGTACAGTATTGCATCCCCCCTCTAGGTAACCAAAATAGTTCTACAGTTTTTACTCGATGTTTTCGAAAAAAAATATCTGCAAATTGAAAATATTTCTTGAACTGTTATTTTTTATTATTATCATATTGATTTATTATTAATTTTAATTATTCAATTGCTTAGTTTTAATCTGTTGTAAACAGGGGTGTATATTTTCCTGAAAAATTATTCCCCACGCCGCTTCTTCTTTAAAAATAATTCTTATTTCCTACAAGTAAGGTATTTATTCTTTATATTGGGGAAATAAATGATTAATTAATAATAATTAATCCAAAATATTTCCCCCTCCGGGAAACCCCTGTGGAAACGTTAATTTAATTGATTTGATTTATCCAAAGTTTATATTTTAGGTTTCTGAAGTCGAGCAAAAAGCCTGTCTTTAAATGATAAAGCAGAGCTTAGGAACTAGATAGATGTAAAGTCTACACAATACATAACAAAATATAATCTACAATACCAACATTAGTCTCTGCTTAATGCTTGTAAGTTGTAAAGTACTTTTATTTATTCCATGAATCCTAAATGTAAAATCCTATATTTGTTCTAGCATTTTATGTTTACGTCAAGTTTTTTTTAGTTAGAATATTTTAGTAGGCACTCCACAAATCTGATTTTGATACAAATTTTTTGTTAACGTATTTTAATCCTTGCTATTGATATGAAATGATGATATCGTAAGAAAACGAGGCATGTCTAGCAGTCGACTCTAACATGGACATGGATTTATGATCGATCCGGATCCATTTTCCATCCATGGATACAGATCCATTTTCCATCCATGGATCCAGATCCATTTTCCATCCATGGATCCAGATCCATTTTCCATCCATGGATCCAGGATCCGGATCCATTTTCCATCCATGGATCGAGGATCCGGATCTATTTTCCATCCATGGATCCAGGATCCGGATCCATTTTCCATCCATGGATCCAGATCCATTTTCCATCCATGGATCCAGGATCCGGATCCATTTTCCATCCATGGATCGTGGATCCGGATCTATTTTCCATCCATGGATCCAGGATCCGGATCCATTTTCCATCCATGGATCGAGGATCCGGATCTATTTTCCATCCATGAATCGAGGATCAGGATCCATTTTTCATCCATGGATTCAGGATCCGGATCCACGTTAAATGAATTGATATTGACTACATTAACAATGCAATTCTTAAGGATTTTAAAACTGTTTGTCTTCTTTTTTTTGAGGCATTTTACTAGGTTTTTTGTGAAAAAAATAAACCTGTTGTGTTTGTATGATTCTTTTGATCAGTTCTGAAGACATTTTTATTTTATTTTATTGTTCTGGGAACTATGAGGCGTCACAAAACGGCAATGTTTTTTTTCTCTGAATGCTAACGTTAACTCTGACAGCGTAAGTGTCCGTTGTTGGGCATTATTGCATAAAACCTTTCATTTATCCTTCTTGTTTGGTACGAAGACGACATCGAAGCCTAGAATTTTTTTGTGTCCTATTTAAAATTAATATTCATAATAGTGGCCTGAAACTTAAATTATTAGATCATATGGGTCCGACATTGTATTGTTCATTGGAAAATTTAAAATCATATATTAAGTCTAAAGTTATCGTTGTTTTCTATAATTTTATCGATTGATTTATTTTTATCAGATTAGGATTTGTTCCTAAATGTTAAAACATTCCTTGAGCCTAAGATACGAATGATAAGATATCAATAAATCGTTCAATCAAATCCATTTAATCTTCATTTTTAAACCATAAGACTTAAGACATAAGAAAAAGTTATTCTCTTTGTGTTCGTCCTCTGAGCAAACCAGGCCCTAGAATATGAAGAATTCTCATACATTCCATTAGTTGGATCGATTCGTATTTGACAAGTGTTTTAGTTTATATTTAAGAATTTTTTATACATATTAAACTTTGAGAATGTAACTTGAGATTTTTTATTTTGTTTTCATATTCCCTTCTTTTTGTGTTTTTAAGCTTGTTATATCTTTTAATCTCCAGTGCCCGAATTTAAAGAATTTGAGCGGCGGTTTGAATTTATGCCGCGGCTTAAATATGGTTTGTTCCACTTAAAATTGTATCAAATGTTTCAAGATTTATGCCGGCGCTTAATTTAAACCGGGTTTTGGCAGATTTAAACCGCTGCTCAAATTCTTTAAATTCCATCTCAGGTGTACTCTACAAACTTGGCTCGGTTCTAAACGTTGTTAACTAAATACAGTTATAAGCTACTTTTGACTTCTGCATTCCTATTGACTTATGCATTCCAATTCTTTTTTTTAAACGTTCAGATAATTTCTTAATTTTGGTTTTTTAGTATCAATTAGTATTCAAAGTTTCCATTGCATTATCTTCAATGTCTTGGAAATTAATCGTTAACTGAAGTTGTGACAAATTGTGAAATTTTTATTATTTCTGCCATAAAACATTTCGTCTCTTTTATCCCTTAACCAGCCTTAGTATGATATTGCTATTGTTGAAATGTCTTATCATAAAATTCTCCAGTTTTTGGACACTTAAAGTCGGCAAAAGGTTTCATTTATAATTTATGTAATTATTTAAAGGGAATAAAATATGTTTTTATATATCTGTAACTAAGTAAGTGATACTGTGATTTTAGAAATTTATATTATATTCGTAAAATATATAACTTGGATTGATTGATTAATTGATGGATTGATTAATTTCAGATGAATTAAAATGTTGTTAGGGACACATGTTTTTAAGTGTTTTTATCATTTTTTTTATTTTTAACCACAAGAAAGATAAAAGGTTTTATCTTTTTTATACGACCATGAGCCGTGTGAATAGAAAGGAAAAAAATATTCGTTAAAAATTAGTTTTAATTTCAATCCTTTTTAATATGTTTCAAATTATTTCAGAGTCAATAAATTATCTATGATCTTTCTAACTAAAATTCGTTTTATAAGTCAAATTGCAAAGAAGCACGTAACAGCAATTACCATCAGTAAAAACATTAGATTGAAATTTAATATCTAAAAACTCGGACAGAAATTTTTATGTATGTTAATAAAAGGTACTCAGCGTAATTTTGAGTGACCCTCCATGCAAAGATGACAATGTTCGATTTACAACGATACCCTTGAAATCTTACTCTAATCAACATTCTGGAAGATACTATCGTTTATTTTACTCAAAAATTGTTTTTTTTCTGTGAATATCGCGATTGTTTCTTATAAAAAAGAAAGTTATATTAGGTGAGAAATCGAAAATGAAAATAAACAGTTTAAATCAACTAAAACATCGCTATCTAATTTATACTTGATCAGACAAAGCTTTCAAGGAAGGGTACCGTTGTAAATCCGGTATTGGCATTTTTGCGGGTCACTCAGAAATAATGCTTACAGTCCCTTTATTCAATATTGCGCTTCGCGCTCCTCTTCTTAAGTTACATTCAGCTTCCCTTTTGTCTTATTTTCAAATGGGCAAGAATAATATTTTTATGTATTGGATTTTATTAAAAGCTTCAATCAGCTAATTTTTTAACGTAAACAACAGCATTTTTTTCGTCCTGAAACATTATTTGCTCGTCAATAAATAGTTATATGTAAAAAAATTTTGTAATAAAAATGAATCCCCCAATACCACTTAAATGCTTTTGATTCAGGCTGTTTGTTACATGTACGCAGTACAGTCTTCCACAACTGTACTTCACGTACATATAATGGATCTAGACGTATACTCGTATTTTTAAATAAAAATTATGGCCAGTCACTCAGATCCAAAACTACATCAGGTTAGTGAATTAGTAAATTCAAAAATTGGTGTCAATGTTGGTCAAAATAAATAAAGCAGATTTTACTTTAACATTTGATAAACTGTTTCGGCATGAGTTGACCTTCTTCTCTAACAATATAATAGCAATCAAAATAAGAAAGCATCCGCCCACATTTAAACTAAATATTTCGGAATGGGTGAGAGCCTTTTCAGTTTTTTCGATTGAATAACCATCAAAATCACTAAGAAAAGGGTTTTAAATGAAAAGAAACTTTTCTAAAATTATGATATGTAACAAGATTATTTGCAAATATTTACTATTTGACGTAAACTATTTATAATAAAAACTGGAAACATTGTTCATTGACCGGGGTTTTTATTATTAATTCTTTCCCGTCGCTTGAAGCATCAAAATTATCTTATCGTGTTTTTGTTAATAATATTTGTATCTTCAAATTGAAAGATTTTTACCATGAGATAAATCATGTTGTACAAGGTACAAATTTCCATCCATTCAATGTTCCCAAAAAATCCTTTATAATCCACGTAAGCTATAACTTCAGTGGTAAAAATCAACCTTGCCCTGACCAAGGTAATTATGGAAGGAAACTAAGTTGCGGTTGTGTATTGTCTGCGTACATATTGAAACCAGTTCTCTCTGGGCGGTATTTGTAAACAAGAATAGATTATCAGTGTTTCTCTATTATCCGAGGAGGATGAAAGCATTTAATTTTGATAATGAACATTTCACATATTAGTTTCCTATGACCAGAATATTTCATTTGTTTTTTATGTGAAAGATGGATCCCATGTCAGACTACGACATCCGTCTTTTGTTTTCTTTATAGCCCAGAGAGAGTACACTGCAGTACACAAAATGCGTACACCTATGAAATAATATCTTTACAATATAATTCTTTTGCCCTAACTAATCTGTAGACATAGACAAGGCTTCATCTGATTTTTTTCATTTTTTATTCAGGCTCCCCAGGAACTGTTCCTGTCCCAAAGACCGGGAAAAAATCAGACTTTCTCCGACTGCTATCTCTTGCGAGACCAGAGGCTTACAGAATAGCAGGTTAAAATTCTGCAAAATATTGTTAAATAATCAAATAAATAAATAAAACAGCCCCCCCAAACAAACATTAATTTAACCAGCAGAGAAAAAATAAGTGTTTTTTGCTCATAAAAAATAACCAATAAATAATTTTTATTTTTACTTTAAATATTTAGGTGCAATGGGACTGCTTGTAATCTCCAGTGGTGTCACAATGTCAGGAAGATTACTTGTTCTTAACACTGTATTAGTTTTTTTTTAATAAAGTTTTTATTGATTAAAATTGATTAATCAGGTTCTTTGCGTTAGTTAATCATAGTTGAATGGTCATTTGGTAATGGGCTGACTAGAAACATTGGTTATTTTTAATGATCGAGCTAGATTTTTGTATTTTGGGATTATCTTAGCATTTATCTGTGCAATATTTTTTGAATACTCTTTTTGTTTAACATAACCTGTAATCGTTTTCATAATTTATAGGTAACGCCGGGCACTTTAGCTAGTGGTAATAAAATCTCTTGGCTCATATATTAATTTACGAGCCAAACAGCTGGACCAAATTCGATTTTTTTCAATTGTAATTCCACGGGCAAAGCCGAACACGTCAGCTTGTAAAGTAATATTAAAGTAACAATTATATTGGGTTAATTTAATTTTTAAATCAAGTTTGATCTTTAGTTCCGTTTGCATTTGGGAAGGTTATAGATATAATCTACAGCATGGACCAGGTCAAAACTATGGGTAAGTAAAATATTTTTTTTAATGTCTTTCTCGGCTTTTTGTTAAACATTTTTTTTAAACAACATTTTTTTAAATTTAAAATGAAAAATTGCCAACTGAACTGATTTTATCGTTTTACCATGGTTTTCTAAGAAACAATTTTGACACATCTACTTTCTAAGAAAACCTCATTCTAAAGGGACTGTTAGCATAAATTTAAGTGAACCTCCAAGAGATGGCAATGCCCGATTTACAACAGCGCAATTAGAAGCTTTGTCTGCTCAAGTATGAATTTTATATCAATGTTTTTGTTTCATTTAACTGTTTATTTTTATTTGCGGGTTCTTTTCGAAAGTGACTTGCGCATTTCTGGCTTATGAAAAATGGAGAAATCATCAGAATTAATGCTTTTTGAGTTTAAAAAAAATGAATATCTTCCACATTTTTGATCATATTAAGTTTTCATGGGTACCGTTGTAAATCGGGCATTGCCATCTTTGCATGGAGGGTCACTTGAAATTGCGCTTACAGTCCCTTTAAGTTATCAATTTTTAAAATCGATCTAAAAGATGATATTACAGTTTTAGTGGAAGAAATGGAATTTTAAAGGGAAGGAAAGTGTCTGACATCTTTTATAAATAAAGGATAATTTTTTGTTACAAATTCAGAAAAAATTTACGAGTTTTTTCTTGTTAAGCGGAGCAGAAAGCTGAGATCCGTGAACGGTTAAATTTCGTCTGTATGGTGTTGGCCGGCGTGTTTGCGGTCGGAGCAGGTTGTAACTTCGGCAGGGTTTACCTCACAAGGGTTGCCGGTCAGAACATTACAGCTAACCTTCGGAATAAGGTACAGTGCGAGGGGCATATAAAGGGGGGTGTCAACATTTTAAATCCAATTTGAGGGTCTGATTATAATTCAATTTTGGAAAATAGAACACAAATTAGGCGTGCAGCCAAAATATTGGAAGATTAGAATCAAAAATGAAGGGAGGGAACCCCCACCCCTCATCAAATACGACATCTCCACCATCGCCTCTTAGAAAAATGTCTAATATGTGAATTATCTTTAAACATTCTGACTAACTTAACATATTACCAAGGTTTTCTTCAGTAATTTTAACTTTATTGTCTTAAATTCTTGATTTTAATTATTATTTAGGTCTATTCTTCAATTGTACAGCAAGAAGTAGCTTTCTTTGATAAAACAAAGACTGGAGAACTTATTAACAGATTATCTGCTGACAGTCAGCTGGTATCACAGACAGTTACACAACAGGTACAGATTATCTGCTGACAGTCAGCTGGTATTACAGACAGTTACGCAACAGGTACAGATTATCTGCTGACAGTCAGCTGGTATTACAGACAGTTACACTGCAGGTACAGATTATCTGCTGACAGTCAGCTGGTCTGACAGACAGTTACACAGCAGATACAGATTATCTGCTAACAGTCATCTGGTATTACAGACAGTTACACAGCAGGTACAGATTATCTGCTAACAGTCAGCTGGTATTACAGACAGTTACACAGCAGATACAGATTATCTGCTAACCGTCAGCTGGTATTACAGACAGTTACACAGCAGATACAGATTATCTGCTAACAGTCAGCTGGTATTACAGACAGTTACACAGCAGAATAGTTAAGTTCCCTATATTTATATTTGTTAAGGTATCTGATGGACTTAGATCTAGTTTTATGACCTTGGCTGGAGTAGGAATGATGTTCTATATGTCCCCTCAGCTTGCATTTGTTGGGCTAGGTAAGTCAGGGTAAAACTTAACTAAAAACCATGTCGACTTGTTTTTCGCCCATTGATGTTGGTTTGATAAAAAGTTAATTTTTATTTTTTTTTATGTTGACCGTCGTTATAGTTTCAGTGAGCTGGGCCCTCTTTTAATAGATGGGAATTCCTGATTTACAACAATTTTACTCTTACCTTTATCTGACCAATAATGTGGAGGAGTTGTTTTCTCGCTTAAAAATATTTTGATACTAAAAAATCCCTTCGCTATTTCTGCCGAAAAAATGCGTCAGTCACTTATAAAGAACCCGCAATTGAAAATAATCAATTTTCCTAGAAATAAACATATAGAGCTTATATATTCTTGATTGTTCAAAGGGTGCTGTTGTGAATCGAACAGTGAACAGGAAATGAAAGCACTTTTCGGATAATGTTGTCATTAAATTCTGGATTTGTTTAGGAACAGTGCCTCCTGTAGCCCTCTGGGCGGTGTATATGGGGAAGAAGGTAAAGTCTGCGAGTAAGAACGTTCAGGACTCCCTCGCGAGTGCCACAGAGATAGCAGAGGAGAAAATATCAAACATCAGAACTGTCAGGTTAGTTTACAGTGCACATCAGTGCTCAGGACTGTTAGTTTACAGCCAGTACTCAGGACTGTTAGTTTACAGTGCACACCCGTGTTGCGGATCCGAAATGACTTAAGATTTAAGTCTATTTTTTGGGGCGTTTATCAAATTTTAGTTATTAAAGTTATTTACCTCAAATTTCTACAAAGTAAGTTAAACATATCTGTAACACAGGCATAACAAGTAAATATTTTAAAACGTATTTTTAATTGTAAAAATTTATTTTTTATAAAGTTTTTATTTTAATCTTTTTTGTATATTTTATGCAATGTAAACCCTTGTACAATGAAAAGGCGTTAAATGTAAAAAATTCAAGTTGCACATTTTTTTATGATAATTTTTATGATATTTTTATAATTATTTCTCTTATAGTATAAGTTAAATGTATTCGTGAGATTGTTTACTAACTTGAAATATTTTAGGATATTCGCCAAGGAGAGAGAAGAGATAAATGCGTACAAACAGCGTATGGACAAGGTCATACAAGCGTCAGTAAAAGAAGCTCTTATTCAGGTGGGTTTAATGAATGTTTAAAATGGAGGGAACATTAAACAAACTTTGAATTAATTAAGTTGATTCACTTTTATTTTTCTCCAGCTGAAAACTTTCAAGAAGAAAAGGTCATCTTTTATTTAAGAATCGAAGGGTTTAAAGTTTTTTTCTGCTTTGACTTGAATTAATTCGTTTCATTTTAAAGTTATCACATCTGTTTGTTCAATTTTTTTTGTCTTTCGTTGAAACATGTTGATATTGAAAATTGTTCTAGAATTGGTGAATACCGTCCATTCGTGCGTTTTTTAAATTTTCAAAAATTGTTTGATTTCACGCAATAATTCCGAATTTTTGTTCATAATTTTATCATTTTCAAGGGATTTTTACAATTTTAACGTTTAAGAACTCAGTATTTTGATGAGTGAAATGATCTATACAAAAAAAGCAAAAATCTGAATGAGTTCTCCAAAATGTTTTTTAAAAATTGTATCATAGAAAACTTAAGGATTTGGTGCAAAATGGATTTGAGCATTTTCATGAAAAAAGTGGCGCACAGTTTCACCCTCATTATAACCTGCAATTGTTTATTTTCGGTTGATTTCAGGCCAAGTTCTTCGGTATGACAGGGTTGAGTGGAAATGTGATAATTCTAACTGTTCTCTACTACGGGGGAAGTTTGGTCACCGATGATCTGATTAGTGTTGGTTAGTTCTAAGTTTACAGATTTTTAAAATTGATTTTTTTAATATTTGTAACATTTTTATTTTTAGGAAATCTCACCTCTTTTATCATGTATTCAGCGTATGTTGGAATAGGTATTTTTTAAAATCTTTTTTTATTACTTAAAAGGGTGGTTGTTATAGTTTGAGTATCCATTAATAGACCGGCATGTCCGATTCACAACTTTACCCTTTGAACCTTTGTCTGACCAGGGATATTTGAGATATTATTATTGTCAGCTGTTGTTACTGGATGAAAGTGGCGTGCTAATTTATGCAGCAGTTGCAACAAAGGAAATCGTAATTTCAAAACATTTTTACTGAACGAAAAAGGACGATATCTTCAATACTGTTGTTCAGATAAAAGTTCAAAGGGTACAGTTGTTAATAGGAAATATGGACATGCCACTATGTAGAGTGTTCCTTGTAACTCCGCCTACACTAACAAAATAAATAAGAATTTGCGAACTAATAAAGACGACAATATATTTATTTAGCCAATAATGTTTGAAATATAAGGTTTATCTGGTATTTCGACCTTTCATGCGGAGATGATGAAAGGACTTGGAGCCAGTTCAAGACTTTGGGAACTAGTTGATAAAAAACCCAGTGTTCCTTTAGAAGGTAGGTGTTCCAGACAATAGGAACTAGTTGATAAAAAACCCAGTGTTCCTTTAGAAGGTAGGTGATTCCTGACTCTAGGAACTAGTTGATAAAAATTGTTTCTAGAAAAGGTAGGTGTTCCAGACTCTAGGAACTAGTTGACAAACAGACACAGTGTTCCTATAGAAGGTAGGTGTTCCAGAATTAAGAAACAGTTTCTTAGGAAGGTATGTGTTCCAGATTAATGAACTGGTAGATAAACAGTGTTCCTGTAGAAGGTAGGTGTTACAGACTCTAGGAAATAGTTGATAAACAACCCAGTGTTTCTATTGAAGGTAGGTGTTCCAGACTCTAGAAACTAGTTGATAACATTGTTCCTATAAAAGGTATGTGTTCCAGACTCTAGGAAATAGTTGATAAACAACCCAGTGTTTCTATTGAAGGTAGGTGTTCCAGACTCTAGAAACTAGTTGATAACATTGTTCCTATAAAAGGTATGTGTTCCAGACTCTAGGAACTAGTTAATAAACGACCCAGTGTTCCTATAGAAAGTAGGTGTTCCAGAATTAAGAAACAGTGTTTCTAAGGAAGGTATCTGTTCCAGACTTAATGAACTGGAAGATAAACAGTGTTCTTGTAGAAGGTAGGTGTTCCAGACTCAAGGAACTAGTTTATAAACAACCCAGTGTTTCTATTGAAGGTAGGTGTTCCAGAGTCAAGCAACTGGTTTATAAACAGTGTTCCTGTAAAAGGTAGGTATTCCGGACACTCAAGGAACTAATTTATAAACAACCCAGTGTTCCTATAGATGTGTTCCAGACTAAAGGAACAATATTTTACGAAATACAAGTGTGTCCCAAGCTTTCTAATATAAATCTTACATTTTATGGCGGTTTTGGTTTTCTCGCACACTGATCCGAATCACGTTTCAACAAGTTCTGTTTATTGACCTGCTTTTGTTTGTGAGACAACCCTAGCCTCTTTTGGAGCCTCAAGAGCTCCGGTTATACTAATCACTCTTGATGATCAACTGGATCAAACAACTGCAATACAATTAATGAATCTAATGTTTTATATGATCTCCGAACAAAGTTTTGATAACTATTTGTACCTTGAATGGCAAATGAATTAACGGATCACTTCTTGAGATAGAATTAGGAAGCAAGTCTTTACTGATCTTGATCTCCCATGATCATCTGCAACATGATGATCTTTTTTTACCATGAGAGCTGGAGATGAAATATTACATGTTTACAGTTTTAACATTTAAAATGTGCCAATATTATTTTCCTTTAAGATGCTCGATAAAAGTCTGGTATACATACATTATATCTTAGCTTTTTAAATACAGAATAAAATAACATTTTGATGTTCTTTTAACTTGAAAATTATCAGGAGTAAAGGGAATGTTCTTGATTATTTAATCATCCTGCATATAAAGTTCTTGAGTGGATCACACTGATTTAGCTTTTTCTTTCATGCTTTGGTTTATCCTAAAATAATAGTTCAGATTTTACAAGTGCCCACAATGGATATTGAATTAAAGCGATGGGGATAATGAGTATCTAACAAAAAAAATCCCAGCTCTGTTCTTAAACAAATATCCCAAACAAATCCAGAAAAATGGATCTCACGCGCATTTTATCATTTCAGAGCTCTAGAAAAATATATAGAAGAAAAAAAAACTAGTTACCAGAATTTTATTTTAATTTCTTTTTATTATTTTCAGGTGGTCTAATTCCGTCCAAGGGTTGCAAGGGAGACATTCGCTTCAGCAATCTTCATTTCTCCTTCCCAAGTAGACCAAATTCTAAAATATTAAATGTATGTATTGTTCATTTCTCTCTTTCCTAAGTTTAAGAAAAATGAATACCCCCACCCCCCTTAATAAAAATAAAAATTGGACTACATCATTTTTCCACATAAAAAAAATATGTTCAACATTTTTTTGCAAAAAAAATAATTGTTTATAATTATTTACAACTACTTTACAGGGAAGTTAAGTTAAGACCAATTTTGCCTATAAAACCTCTAGAGCGCAGCTTGAGATGCTTTTTAGACAAAATTGATCGAGAGAACCTGTGGTTACGTAGATTTTTTAACGTCTCCAAAATTTATCGTCTTTTGAGATATATATGCGCGATTTTTTGGTTACTGGTTATTATACATAACTGTCCTTAGAGAAGTTAAGTAACTTAACCTCCCTCTGTTGGGGGAATAATGGTCGGTCATTTTATTCAAAAAGCGAAAAAAAATATTATTTAAAATCTTATATTTTTATATGGGAAGGGGGGGGGGGAATAATTTTACCGTTTTTTGTGATCTCAAATTCTCTAAAATTCTCTCAACAAAATTCTTTTAAGAGTATAGTTTAGAAGCACAATTTTATTGGTTTGATTTTAGGCGTTAAACCTACATATTCCAGCGAACACTATAGTAGCAGTTGTTGGACCTTCAGGATCAGGAAAATCTACTTTGGCCAGCTTATTGTTAAGGTAACTATTTGATATCCCTTTTCCTGTTGTTAGCGCGGTTTTTGTAAATAAAACAGAAATTACTATAGTTTGAAGTAACTTGAGAGTAAAACTACTTTTTACTGGAAAATAATTCATTTGAAGAAAATTTATATTTCAAGCCACATACTACTAGGAAGAAAATGTATATTTTAAGCCACAGACTAGGAAGAATAGGTTTACAGGCAGATGAGATATATTATTTTTTTACAAATGAGGTTGATCTTGTCCTGAATTCCAAATTTCTTAAAATTTCTTCCCTTTTTCATTTTTGATTTTCTCCAACCTTTGAACACGAGAAGAGAATTTCATCTCATTAAACTTTTTTGCTTCTCCGTTGATTTTCCCGGACACTTGTGGGTAAGAAAACTGAATTATCTTCAACCGATATAAAGTTGGAGGTCGGCACATTCGTGTCTAGTAGCGTTAATCTTGAACGCTTGATCTTGATAGCCAATGTAAGGATAAACACTTCATCCTTCAATCAAAGTTATCCTTGCCGGTGCACGACCACGACAAGATAGATTTCAGGAATTAGAGTAATCCGAAGGTCTGCATAATATGCAGATCATTCTCTCTTTTCTTAGTATTTCTTTATTGTGCCCTGAACGTTTTTAGAAAAAGATCAGTTGTAATAAAGAAAATTTACAAAAATTTGCCAAGGAATTTAAATGATTGAAAGGAAATTAGTAAGATTATAATCATTTTATAGTTTTTTATTAACAGTTACCACTGAACTATTAACCAGTCTGATAAAAAAAAAAAACGGTTGTTTCTGCTCCATTTTTGCAAACATTTTTACAATTTTCTGAGACCTATTACAAATTTTCATATGCAGAAAAGAAATATTTAGTAAATGTTTAATTTTGGAAGGGCAGGAAGTGAATTGAAAACATGCAAACAAACATGTTGTGTTTTCTCAACTTGAACAGACTCCACCTAGGAAGTACAGAAGTCTGCAGAAAGGAAGGAAAAGGAAGTAATAGGAAGTAGGAAGCAGGGAGGTGAACTAGAGAGAACTTACGGGTGCAGGGCAGCCGGTCAGCAGGTCTAGCAACACCATAGGGGTTTACCTAGTAAATATTTGGTACAGAGTTGGATGGTAGAGAAATAGGCTTCGGAGAGTATAGGTAGGTAATAGGTAGTTAGACTAGTAAGTAAAGAGTTAGAGGTCAGAAGGAGTAAGTAAAGAGTTAGAGGTCAGTAGGGTAGAGTAATAGTTTAAAATAGAAACTCAGCAGTACTGTACATTCCTTGTAGTCGTCTTCTTCATGATATCTAACCACCTATCCATAAATAGACAGAAGCTTAAATACACATTTACCCGCACAATGTTCAATGTTTATATAACAATTTTTTTCAAATCAGGCTCTAAAATGATATAAAAAATAAGGATTTTTTACTATTTCTCATTAAATAACACCTTTAATTTTATTTTTTAGGTTGTATGAACCCCAGGAAGGACAAATTTTTCTAGATGATAAAAATATTCAAGATTTAGACCCTTCTTGGCTGAGGTAATTATTGGTTTGATGCAGACCTGACAAATAAAAAACTTTTCCAAGCTTTAAGATACAGAGTACAGTACATTTGTAAACCTGATTGTTGAAGTAAAATTCTAGAGTTAACCCTTTCCCTGCTAGTGTACTTGAAAACGAGGATACGGTGGGGGGGGGGGTTGTCAATTTCCCCCTTGCCCTCTAAAACCCATTGTTTGATGTCCAAATATGAAAAATTATACATCATTGGAAAGCTTTTATGCTCTACTTTTAGAGTCAACAAAAAAATTTGCAAATTTGCAAAAATTAAACGTTCTTTTACAAAATCCAGTTTGAAGTAAAATGTTTGCAAAAAAAATGGGAAAATTTCTTTATTTGGAAAACTTCTTTGCAAAACTTGTGCAGTCCGTTTCCTTATGTAATAGGCTTTCCAAAAAGCTAAAAATAATCGAAATCCGACAACTGAAAGTGGGTCAAAACAAAGATTTAGTTTGTTACAGGAAAAAGTAGTCATTCAGGCAGTGTGCCTGAGGACTCAGACAGTTATTATAAACGCCCGGTTTTAGACCTAAAGGAAAGGATATGGGTATTTAGGAAAAGTCAGAAAATTTCAGCAGCCTCAGACCAATACTTTTTGAGTTAAGTTAAAAAACTGCATAGGGGTCAAATTGATCCCGCCCCCCCAGCAGGAATAGGGTTTAATAATCAGGGGCGGATACGGGATTTAAGTGAGCAAAATCCTTTATATCTTCGATAACATTAAAAGCACAAAAGAGGCAGCTACAACATTTTGGGGAGCCAGGACAATAGGGAACTTGTGATTATTGTTTCAGAATCATACATGTCGAAAATTACTTTTAAAAATTCAATGACGACATCCAAGTCGTCTTCCTACTGTCAAGTTTCATGGGACACCCTGTATCTTGATTATTCTGAGCTGATTTAGGGGAATACTGATTGATTTTGTGATTGAAAAATTTAGAGAGAATGTTAAATGTTGGAATGCGTGAATTCAGAATTTTTGAAAGGGGCATCGTTATTATTCGCTTTTAAAATATTCCGGATTTTGAAACTTCCAGTACAGACTTCACAAAATATGAGAAGTTTAAAATTTCTCAAAAATTTTGCTTTGCTGAAAAATTAGAATCGTTCACTAACGAACGGTAGCTTTTGTTTCGTTCAAGCTTATATCTTCTGTCAGAGTTAACGTTTTTCATAATTTTTATGAAAGAAAACTGAAACAAATAAAATTTTGAATTACATTAGACTTCGTAGATTCTTGTGAATCCTCCTAAAAGCCAAAAAGGCTAGATTATCTAAGAAACTGTGTATTAACGATGTCCAACTATAATCATGGGCCAAGATTAATGTGTTCCGACAGAACGTATAGTTTGTTGTAAGTACTATTAACAATTCGGGCTCTCGCGGTTTTCTTTTTTACTGTCATTTTACGACTTTATAAAAAACGTCATTTTTCTCCAAACTACACAAAAGTAAAACTCATGAAATCAATCTCCATTAAAAACTGAAAGATGAAAACTACAGATGATCTTTAGAAAATAAAGATTATCATTCTCCATCGTTCATCCGGGTTGGGGTTTCCAATCAGAATTCCGATGCGCGGAATTGTGTGCAACTGTGAGGAATGGCGCGCAACTGTTCTCAATTTCCACGGAGTTTACAGGGCTCGCAATTGCGCGAAAGTAAAATCCACTTGCATTGGAAACCCTAAATTCCTGGTATAGAGGAAAGTGCGCTCTCATAATAATTTTTTATTTCAGACTAAAACCGCTCACAGCGGAAAAACACAACTTTGTTGACTTGAGTCACCTATTTTATTTTTATATCTGCACATACTTAATTTTGTTTGTATACTTAGAAGCACATACATGTTTCAACCACAATGTTTTTTGAGCTAATTCGGAATATTTACATGTGAAATTTGACCAGAATTTTTTTAGTTTTTCTAAGCCTTGGCCTTAACTCTGGAAATGAATTTTATAGCTTTTGATCTAAAAACTTCAAATCAAATTATACCTTTTTATCGAACTCATCAGTCAAAAGTGACAAAATATAAAGAAACTTTTTTTTAAGTTTTAGAAATATAGATTTTGCGCAACATACAACTGTTAAAACAAATTCGAAAAATAAGGAAGACGATTGTACCAACTCAAATGCCGATGTTAATTCTCTGGATGTGTGTCTACTCAGGATCCATTTCCGCAATACAACACACCACACATGTCAAATCCCCGCTCACCCTAGCCCCCGCTTCACCCAGCAGTCAGCTATAAACACTCAAGACATTCACAACTCTGTCTCAACCCTGGCTCCTTCATGATGATGATTCAGATACAGAACTAACAGCAGAAGACACTACTTACACCTAGCTCCGCTCTCCACAATGTTCCAGAGATCCGGGTGGAACCAGACTTCCTTCCATTATCCTGTATACACGATAAGTCCGCAATCTCTCTCCCTTAGACTAAGCCTAGTTGTGAGAAAGCCTGCCGTCAAGATTGATGATCTGTACCACCATCATGAAGTTCTACAACCACCTTCTAACTGATATTCGTCCATAGTTTCTTATTAATTTCTAAACCAACCAATTTACAATCTTTGTGTCTTGGTCAAATATTTCAAAACAATAATCTTGAAAATATACAATGCTGTGGTTTTTCCTATAAAAAAATGTTGAAAGAAAAATAAAAACAACAAAACAAACATATCCGGATTATTTATGTAATTCAAATATTTTAATTAATTTTTAGGCGATATATTGGAACTGTTTCACAAGAACCGATTCTTTTCAATACATCAATCAAGGAACTAAAATCAATTAAAGAGTAATGGTTACCCACATGGTTACCCACAAACGCAGTGCTTAGGATCCATTTAATTTTGATGCGGATCCGGATCCTGGATCCGCACTGAAAAAAAAAGGATCTGGATCCAGGTCATTTCTTAATTTACTGAATTTTTTTAACAAAAAATGATATTAAAATTTTTATTTTTTTTTTTTTCGCTTATTTTTATCCTAAAACTTGATGGACCATTCAAAAATGAGGAAATGTTTATAATCTCTCTTTTTTCGAAAGTTCAGATTTGGGGTTTAGGAGTAATAAAGTTTTTTTTGCAGTTTTTGGTTGATATTTTACCCTGTGGATCCGCATATTTTTCCGGATCCGGATCCAGGAATCCAAAATCTTGCGGATCCAACGGATCCGTATCCGGATCCTAAGCACCGCCACAAAAGAGAGACTTCAGAGACAATTGTACGGTATGTTTGCTGACTGTTTCCTTATTTTTACATTCCCTGCAACTGTAAACTTGTGCCTTTCTTTTCCAAATCATTAAATAAGCAAATAGATTACTATATTTGAGGCAAAAAAACATAATTTAACTTTAGGATCGTGACATTTAAAGAGTTTCCGGTCGTCTTTACAGTCCTATCTTTTGTGGGTAACCCTGTATGAATTTTTTTTTTAAATGACCATGTTATCATTATGATATAATTATGTTAAATCATAATGTTATCATTATATTCATTGAACAATTTTTCTCTAAAATTTCAGATATTGACTTTATAATAGTTGAATCTAAAAGCTTTTTTTAAGCATGATAGATTTCAAATAAAAATAGAAAAATATTTTATTTTGTTTCAAAATTTCATTAAAGTCTGTTGAGAAAAAAATTTAACAAAAAATAATCACCAAATCTCCACCATTACCTATAAATTAAACTTTGTATTAAAAATATAATTCATAATTTGTAAACAGTAATTTTGGAATAGAATAACGACTAACTAAGACCCTTCCAAAAATAATAGTTTTGTGTAAAACACAATTTAGTTTTTTTTAAGGGACTGTAAACGGAATTTTAAGTGACTCTACATGCAAAAATGGCAATGCCTGATTTACAACGGTACCCTCAAAAGATTTGTCTGATCAAGTATCAAACAGATATCCATGTTTTTGTTTCTTTAAACTGTTTATGTTCATTTGCGGTTTCTCTGCGAAAGTGGCTTGCTCATTTCTTGTTTATGAGAAACCATTGAGAAACTCGCATTAAATAAAAATTTTCGAGTCAGAAAGACGACGTTATCTTTCACAATTTTGATCGAATTAAGGTTTCAATAATACCGTTGTAAATCAGGCATTGCCATGTTTGCATGGAGGGTCACTAGAAATTACGCTTACATTTCCTTTCATCGCCGAGTTAATTGATTGATTGATTGAATGGTTTGATCAGGAGAATATTCTGTATGGAGTGGAAGATGTCTCTACTGTATCCGACCAGGATGTTGAAGCTGCGGCTAGGCAGGAGACAATCCTTTTAAATATTTAGAATTTTCCGAAATACTCAAACTTTTTAATGTTTAAACTATTCTATTTTTGAAATAAGAATGACCTTTCCTAACATTGGAATTATTTATATACTGGGTTGTACACAAAGGATGAGACTGTGGTGACGACTTAAAACTCTTAAAATATAACGATCCCAAGGTTAAGATAAGTTGTCTGCCTAATGAAGACTTTTAATGGCATATAAAATGATTTGGTAAAGAGAGAAACAAGTTTGCAGATATACAGGGTGGCCAAAATGTACGGATTGTACGGATTGATTTTTTTTAACCCTAAAATTGTACGGATTGTACGGATTGCACGGATTGTACGGATTTGTTTTCAAATTGTACGGATTGTACGGATTTTTATCCTGGAAAATACACCGTTTTTTTAAATTTTCACTCATTTCAGCAAATTTTTCATGAAAATAAAACTTAATTAACTTATTTTCTGCATTCTAAATAATATTAGATTGATTAATGTTTCAATTGACAATCAAAATTCATTCATAATTTTCGAGATATGTCCAAGAAGTGTTTATTTGAGAATATGTTCCATAAGTACTTATTTGATTGCTTATTCAAGAAGATGTTCCAGTATCCTGTACCCAGTATCCT